TGTATGATGGAAGGAAATAAAGAAAATGGTGTACTAAATACTGTGCAGTATTTAACTGCCTAACGGCCGAATACTGAAACGCCATTTAAATATTTGACGGCTTCTCAAATAGTTAAGCAGCTCCTAAACTTACATTTCGCATACTCAAAACAATATCTGAGCAGTTCTCAATTTTTAAGCACCTCTCAAATTAAGTTGCACTCAAACGCCACTTAAGGCGATTACATGGCCGAACGACCTTGAGCATTAGAGCGAGACAACGCGCCTCACGCCGCGCGCCCGCGCTTCTGCCCGATACCAAAGTGCGCTCAGAATACAGATGCGAAGCGCTGCCAATTCTAACATAACTGCCTACGGGAATGTTAACTCGATTTTAATTTACGCAGATCGAAAAAAATTGCGATGAATGATTATATTTCAATTAGACATCATTATACTTTAATTAGTACCATAACTATGAAAAATAAACAGTTATTTCCTACTGTAAAGTTTGCAAAAAGGGACATACCTAAGTAGTTTGAAAGTTAGGCTGACGATATTCGTGTGTCTAAGTGAGCTTCTAAACAGTTTTTAAGTGTGTGTACGAGTACCTACCTAAATGTAAATGTCTGTCTGTGCAGGTAGATAGGGATAGAGACATGCGATTTTTGGTTTTACAAAGATAATACGATAGAGAACAATACAAAGTAATAAAAACCACCGGTTATAGGGGCATTTTTTGGAGAAATTTATCAAATAACCAAAAAAACACGAATTTTTAAGCAGATTTTTTTCAAAAAGTATAATTTTTTATTATTTTTTGGCATTTTTTGTGTATTTTATGTATTTTTTTAGTATCGCCTGTTATTTAGCATTATTACTGTTTTTATTTTATTAGGATATACCGCTTAGTTTAAAAGTTATTACGTTTTCTTTACAATAAGTGATTGGAAGAAAAAAAATTCTATAAAAAATTAAAAAAAAATCTCAAAAATTTTTTGACCTCTTTTTTGTCGATAAAAACAGGTCTAGTTTTATCTATTTTCATATGTACACTTTAACGTGACTCACACTGTATAAACAAGTAGTAGGGTTTCAAGCTATTTTAATTTTTCATTTTTTTTGCCTGTTATGTCTTACCACTTCACTTAAAAATTAAGGATTGATGGTGAAAACTGACATAAAACAATTATTTTGCGTTTTTAAGCAGGGTGGAGAAAAACTTTTATCAATATTGTAGTGTAACCCTTGCCCTTGCTAAGATTGCTTAGGAACATGCTAAAGTGTGTTTAACACACGCCGCATGCGGTCGTCTGTCCATCGCCCCATTAACAATTCAAAGTGCGTACGCTTTGGCTTTGTAGCGGGTTCGGAGAAACGAAATTGGGTAAATCGCTTCACTCAACGGGACCTCTTGTTTGGAAGTCAGCTGGTGTTTTGAATATTAGTAGGTTTTTTCCCGTCACGTAGGTCACGTCTCTAGAAATGAGAACTCGATGGAGAGACTGGTAGTTCAGGGCCAGGTGGAAGGCAGGAGTGCTAGGAGTCTCAAATTTGGGGTTTCTTTTAGAATGGAGGTGCTCACTAAGAATGGATTTTACGAAACTCCACCCCTAAGAGGGTAAAACGGGATCCACAGGCAGAGTTACTTTAGCGTTTAATTCGGTACCCACAGCCTCAACAAAGTTAGTAATAATTCTTCCATGATTACAAGACTATCAGAATAAGCGTCCCATTACCATTTTATGATTACAATCAGTCGATTGCGATCGGCGCACGCGCCAGTATAGTTGTAGAGGATTTATGGATAGTGTTATAGGAAACTGCGGGAGATATGTGTGAGTTTTTTTAGTATATTGTTGTGATTGGTGTTTCGTTGTGTAAATAATTTGTTTGTGTAATAATATTGTGTAATAAAATAACATAACATAAGGCTGAGACCAAACGAGTGAAAATGTGACGTGTTGAATGTACGACACCTTAGAGCTTAGAAAAAGAAGAGTAAGCAGCACTAAGCCGATTTTGATGATTTTTTTATGGGGATAGTTTGAGTCTCAGGGCAAAGGAAAGAAAGGACATAGGATAGTTTTTATTCCGGTTGTTAAAATAGGGATGCGCGTGATAATTTTTTGTGAGAGACAAAATTTAACGCGGGCGAATCCGTGGGCAAAAGCTAGTAAAAAATAAATGGAAAGAAATATTGCTTTGTTAGTTCTGAGCATATTCTCCAAGCTCACTTTTATTTTTTGCCAACCTGTCCCTTTAATTAAAGGACATTGTCAGAAACCGCCTAAAAAACCGCCCAAAAACATTAACCCATCATAATTATTTTCTATTTTTTTAAATACATTAAGCACCCTTTCATTCTAATGGACACTTAAGCATTGAAAAATTAAATAAATAAGTCTTTTAACGTTTATTCTATAATACTATTACAACTTCCGGACGTTTTGGTGCGTGGCATGGTCTAAAACCTATCAAGTTCCATTATTTTTGCCGATAAAATCTGTACGAGACATTACCGTACTTTATTGCTGGGAGTCCATGTATAGTGATGTTCCTGCGGCCATCATAGACAATAAAATATCGATTTATACATTCACACAATACATTAGACGCCATGTTGTCATAAACGACATATTATAAAATCGCTGTGATTTAATATTCTTAATCATTAATTTTATGGCAAGTGTCCATCAGGAATCATTGTTCTTACACACAGAATCGTATTATTTCGCTTTCGGGTAGTAATATGTCAAAATTGTTGGTTCTTAGGCGAACAATGTATGGAGAACGAACATTGTCCTTTGCAACGCTACTCAGAAGTTAAGTATAATCAAGCAATTATAGAATTTTAGATCCGCTCCAATAGGTGTATTAATAACTTATTTACATACTAGCGGCCGTCCGCGTCTTCGTACGCGTGGATCCCGTTTTACCCCCTTAGGGGTGGAGTTTCGTATAATCCTTTCTTAGCGGATGCCTACGTCATAACATCTACCTCCATGCCAAATTTCAGCCCGATCCGTCCAGTGGTTTGGGCTGTGCGTTGATAGATCACTGTCAGTCAGTCAGTCAGTCACCTTTGAGTTTTGTATATTTAGATGCACATAGAGTGTACAGTTTTGTTGTAAAACCGCTTTTATTTCCAGTACATAAGGTACAACAGTGTGTAACTTGATCAGCCGTCTTTATTCTAACCAGCTTTGTTTGATTTATAACGTCCTTCTTAAACGGTTTATGGTGAAGAATGTGAATCAGTTTCTTCAATGCATTGTTAAATAGTAGCATACTCAAAATAAGATTAGCTTTTTGGTACCTTAACCCGGCGTCATTGAGGCAGGGTCAATATGACCCTGCAAGTTTTGCATACGAAAATTTGCTTAGAAGTAATTGCCGCACACAACCGTCTGTCTCAGTAGCTGCAGCAAAGGATCACCCCTCCCCTTCACGTACCTCACTTCAGTCGTCCGTCGCCCGCGCAAGGAGCAACACGTATGTAAACGTGCGACCGGGTAATTATGACCCAGCTCAACGGTGACGTTGCTGTTTTGTGCCATATTTTTTTTATGTTTTATTTAGTTTTACTTATTTACGATACTTTATTTTCCGATACTTGTCTAATATGGACCCGGAAGAACGTGAGCGTCGTCGAATCTTGGCGATACTGGAAGAATCCTCAGATAGTGATGAAAATGAACCTTATGCATCTGATTTGGAAAATGAAGATCATGTTAGTGTTCGTAGCCAGGAAAGTGATACCGACCAAGAAGTAAGTGCAACAATTACGTCAATCCAGTTTTTTGAATGTAATGGCTCCAAATGACGACAATTCCGAATCGTCAGACCTCGAGGTACGAGATCCCTTTTATAGCGGGAAAGATGGTACTAAATGGTATAAAATTCTAATGATAGAGAGCATAGGTAGTATAGATTTGATTTAAGTATTATTTTCGTTAGAAACGATATTGCTTTTTGTTGATTAAAAAAAAATAAGAAAAGAGTCACAGTTTTGTTGTATAATTAATAGTGTATAAGAAAAATGAAAAATAAAAATTATTGCATACATTACCAATGTTTTATTGCTGCTATTGATTATATTATACAGTATTTATAATAAATATTAAATTTTAAATATTAAAATTATTTTATACTAGGTGAAATTGTGACAAATATAACCAGGGTCATATTGACCCACCTCAACTTTAGTGTAACCTTTTTCCGCCACAATGACGCCGGGTTAATCCTAACGGAATAGGCCTTAAAATCAGTCTTATTGTCTGATATCTTGTACAAATATAGCTCAATTTGTTTTTAGTGCATCTTAGTGCAATTTTATTTATAAACTCAATCGCATGAGTCGATGTCGCCGCGCTTTGAAATGAATGATGCATAATATCCTGTATTCACGTACTCGCCCTAGCTAAGTCGAACTTTAATTTCGAACTCGTATGTTCTATTTTGTAAGAGACAATATTATATTTACAAATTCGTGTGTGTATTTATCCTAGTTGAGCCGTATTGAAAGAAAGAAAGAAAGAAAGAAACATTTATTGCCATGGACATCACAAAAGACAAAAGGGGTAAAATGAAAAAAAAAAGCAAATAAGACAGAGGTGACATAAAACATACAATGAATGCGCAAGTAAACTAAGCAGTGCCACCCTGTCGCACAGCGATGCCCATCACAATGGGACCCCACTCAGCATATGCCGTGGCCCCCGGTGAGGGAGGCCACGACGCTGGTTTTCAGTGTGCCCCATGCCGAGTGAGAGTCACGGACACTAACCTATACTGCATAAAATATACATACATAAATAATAATAATAGTGCGCGTATAAATTTTAAGTGTAAATACAGACGTAGTAGAAAATAATAATATACGATATAGACGAAGTAGAAAAGATGTGATAAGATATTTATAAATAAAAAGATAATATTTAAAAAACAAAACTGTGTGTGTCTATTGCTGTACTGTTTCTATAGTAATTTGTATTTATTGTGTTGTTTGTTTGTCCCAGGTGGCCCAAAATGGGTTGGAGGTGCTAGCAGCGCTTGCCGAGCGAATGGGCCCGGAGTTCTCGCACTATGTGCCCACTGTGCTGCCCCATATTATTGACAGGTATGTGTCATCATCATCATCATCATCAGGTCATTCAGTCTCTACTGCAGGAGCATGACCAATCTAATTTACCTGGTAAATGGAGGATTTGAACCAAATATGAGCACGACTTTCTAATTTACTGACCATATTGACCCATTTTCTGGTGCTGGTAAAATTTTGGCCGCCGTATTTTGGTTCTTAAATTATTTCTCTAATAGTCAAGAGAGACAAGCTAGAACAATTTAAGCCAAAAATATTTACACTTATTTTTTGCATAAGTAAAAATCGTTGATTGTGTAGTGAAGTAAATTAGTTTCACTTATTGAGTTAATTTTTCGCATGGAAGATGCATAAAGTTTAAGAGTTGACAGTTTCTATTGGCTGAATGTAGCCGTTAAAACATACTTTTAGAGTGCTTGCACATTCAGGGAACTTCAGCAAGCGACTAACGTGAAAGCCGTCTTATAACCCACACGGTATACAGGGTGTCCCGTAATGTAACGTCAAGCCGGAACTGGGTGTTGAGGCAAGTTATGCTGGTTATCAGAAAAATATAAAAAAAAATCTATGTGGCATTTTGTCAAAATAATAGGCATTTAAAAAAAAACAAAAAAAATCTACTCCCGGTGACGGTCTTTTTACTCGTGTTGCCACAAATCTTCACTTTTTCCAAGTTTTTTTTTTGTTATGTAACCCTGAATAATGCTTCTCTAAATTGTTATCAAAATTACAAAACCAGCCGCTCCAGCTTGGATGAAAAAAATACATTATTCCCAAAAAATTTTTCAAAATAAAAATTTTGCATCCAATGTATTTTTTTCATCCAAGCTGGAGCAGCTGGTTGATAACAATTTAGAGAAGCATTATTCAGGGTTAAATAACAAAAAAAAATTTGGAAAAAGTTAAGATTTGTGGCAACACGAGTAAAAAGACCGTCACCGGGAGTAGATATTTTTGTTTTTTTTAAATGCGTAATATTTTGACAAAATGCCACATAGATTTTTTTTTATATTTTTCTGATAACCAGCATAACTTGCCTCAACACCCAGTTCCGGCTTGACGTTACATTACGGGACACCCTGTATATTTTTTTTATGCAAGACAAGGCAGGTATTTGACCGCAATCGCACCTGATGTTAGGTGAGATGCGATCTAGGATGGTACATATCTGCCCTGTAAGTGCCTATTCACTCTCGCCTTGAAAAGGCCCGCGTTATAGTGTTCAGGAAAGAGCAGCAGGCAGTGCGTTAATCTCATTAAAAATCTAAAATCATGATTATGATGACCAAGCTGTCAATTTTATTATAATTAATTACCCAATGACTCCAGCTAATCATGCCAACTTAACCCATTGTTTATGCCCAAGGATGTGACGTCACACCCACCAGAGCGTCACAACCAATGGCTCGTGACAGCATGAATTATATTTATGCTAAGTTCTGTCACATTGTTTTCATAATGCTGAGATAATTTATGCCTTATTGTAAAGGAGGAAGATGCGATTGTCGATTGTGTGGTTTGGTTTGTTATAATGTTGGCTTAGTATGCCTTTATTGTAGAAAGATAAAGCATACTTAGCTTCCTTGAAACGTAATTTGTTCAGTTCAGTATCTCTTTCACTAATTAGTTAAAAGAAAGAGACAAACTGATCAAAACGATCATTATTCTCCCTTTATCTTGCAAATAAAAAGAAAGTCATTTAAGTTGGCGAGAAAGTGACGTCATAGTTTGTTATTGCCATAGAAAATCTTGTTTTGCCAGCTCATAAAAAAATCAATTGGCTAGTGTGTCAACTACATCATGTTTTGTTAACTTAATAAGGCAAACATACCCCAACGTCACTAAACTGGACTGCAAAGAAAAAAGGTCGGTCAGAAAATCTTCTTTATCTTCAAAAGTACCTGTCCTAGCTTTATGAAACAAAACATACTGGAAAAACTACTTAATTGAATTTACATTGTGTGTCTATCTTAATAAAATTGTTTTAAATCTTTTCGGTCATCATAGGGCTCCCCCAATGACTTCCATGTTGACCGGTTGGTAGCGGCCTGCGTCCAGCGCCTTCCTGCTACCTTTATGATGTCGTCGGTCCACTTTGTGGGTAGACATTCCAATCTTTTCGGTGTTTATCTGTTAATCGTTATAATATTTTGTATTTTCCTTCCAGACTAGCGGACACCAAAGAGTGCGTTCGTCACATGGCCCGCGTGTGCCTATCCGCGCTAGGAGAGAGCCGCGCGGCCCCCCCTCGGGCCCTTTTAGCCCGCCTGACCCCCGCGTTACAACACAAGGCCCCCCATACCAGGGAGGAGGCCGTGAGGTGTATACAGGCGCTGCTAGACACGTGAGTGACAGTCTACCTCCTTCCAGAAGCTAGTTTTGCCTCGCTCCCAATAGACAGTCACCCTATTATTCTGTAGTGCCCTGATAGTTTGCCTCTCTCCTGAGCTTTTGAATATAGCTCCAGAGAATTAGCTGAGAGGTTGAAAGGAGTATACAGGCGCTTCTAGACACGTGAGTGACCTTCTACCTCCTTCTAGAGAGTCTTTAGCTTCAGTTGGCTCTAGGAGAGAGCCGCGCGGCCTCCCCTCGGGCCTTACTGGCCCGCCTCACCCCCGCGCTACAACACAAGGCCCCCCATACTAGGGAGGAGGCCGTGAGGTGTATACAGGCGCTGCTGGACACGTGAGTGACAGTCTACCTCCATCTAGATTCTAGTTCTTCTTACTTGATTTGGTCCCAGGAGTGTCTCCAGCTGTCATTCATAAGCTTCCTGCTAGCTCGCCTTACCCCCGCTTTAAAGCATATGAAGTGACAAGAAGGAAGGTGCTATGAGGTGTATACAGGCGCTACTAGACACGTGAGTGACCTTCGTCTCTTTCTAGCTTGAGTTGTTCCTAAAAAAGTGTCTCCCTGTCATCCCCTCATGACAGGAAGGAGGCTGTAAAGCAGTCTTTCCCAAAGTGGGAGATAACGCCCCCTTGTGGGCGCTGCAGGCTTAAAGGGGGGCGGTAAGAGACCCAGATAAAAAATCGGGACGTTGTGTAGAGGCTTGGGAGGCGTCATCTACTAGGAGGACTCTTAGACATCGACTGAGCTCGACTCTTGACTACAAAAATGGGGGGCGCTAAAAAATAATGTATTCTCAAAGTGGGCAGTAGACCAAATAAGTTTGGGAACCACTGCTCTAGAGTGTCTCTAGCTTGAGTTGATCCTAGGAGAGAGCCGCGCGGCCCCCCCTCGGGCCTTACTGGCCCGCCTCACCCCCGCGCTACAACACAAGGCCCCCCATACTAGGGAAGAGGCCGTGAGGTGTATACAGGCGCTGCTAGACACGTGAGTGACTTTCTACCTCCTTCTAGAGAGTCTCTAGCTTGAATTGACCCTAGGAGAGTCTTCTTCTAGCTTCCAGTTAGCTGGTCTCACCTTCACGCTAAAGCATAAAGCACCTCATACTAGAGAAGAGGCTGTAAGGTGTATACAGGCGCTGCTAGACACGTTAGTGACCTTCTACCTCCTTCTAGAGAGTCCTTAGCTTCAGTTGGCCCTAGGAGAGAGCCGCGCGGCCCCCCCTCGGGCCCTACTGGCCCGCCTCACCCCCGCGCTACAACACAAGGCCCCCCATACCAGGGAGGAGGCCGTGAGGTGTATACAGGCGCTGCTAGACACGTGAGTGACAGTCTACCTCCATCTAGATTCTAGTTCTTCTTACTTGATTTGGTCCCAGGAGTGTCTCCAGCTGTCATTCATAAGCTTCCTGCTAGCTCGCCTTTCCCCCGCTCTAAAGCATAAGAAGTGACAAGAAGAAAGGTGCTGTGAGGTGTATACAGGCGCTGCTAGACACGTGAGTGACCTTCGTCTCTTTCTAGCTTGAGTTGTTCCTAAAAAAGTGTCTCCCTGTCATCCCCTCATGACAGGAAGGAGGCTGTAAAGCAGTCTTTCCCAAAGTGGGAGATAACGCCCCCTTGTGGGCGCTGCAGGCTTAAAGGGGGGCGGTAAGAGACCCAGATAAAAAATCGGGACGTTGTGTAGAGGCTTGGGAGGCGTCATCTACTAGGAGGACTCTTAGACATCGACTGAGCTCGACTCTTGACTACAAAAATGGGGGGCGCTAAAAAATAATTTATTCTCAAAGTGGGCCAGTAGACCAAATAAGTTTGGGAACCACTGCTCTAGAGTGTCTCTAGCTTGAGTTGATCCTAGGAGAGAGCCGCGCGGCCCCCCCTCGGGCCTTACTGGCCCGCCTCACCCCCGCGCTACAACACAAGGCCCCCCATACCAGGGAAGAGGCCGTGAGGTGTATACAGGCGCTGCTAGACACGTGAGCGACTTTCTACCTCCTTCTAGAGAGTCTCTAGCTTCAGTTGATCCTAGGAGAGAACCGCGTGAGGTGTATACAAGCGCTGTTTGGCCTGTGAGTGACCTGTCCCTTTTTTAGAGTGAGTTGACTCTAAGAGAGAGTCGCCCAGTAGTCTAACAGAAAGCTAAAGCCCGGTCTCCGAGCACGTAAAATTTTGTCCAATGACCCCAAGCTACCCATCCTTATTGCTCGCGCGTAATTATGTTGCTGTCGCGCTCGCACACTCAATGCGGGCGCCCGTCGCACAGTCGCGACAGCAATATAATTACGCGCGAGCGATAAGGATGGGTAGCTTGGGGTCATTGGAAAAAATTCTACGTGCTCACAGACCAGACTATAGCTGGACTCACTTTCACTCTAAAGTCTAAAGCATAAAACGCCCCATACCAGGGAAGAGACCATGAGGTGTATACAGGCTAGTAGACACGTGAGTGACCTTCTTTCTACCTTCTTCTAGTTAAGTTGATTCTAAGAGTCACCCTATTATTCTGTAGTGCACTGCTAGTTTGCCTCTCACCTAAGCTTCAGAATATAGCCACAGAAAAGTAGTTGAGAGGCTGTAAGGTGTATACAGGCGCTGCTAGACACGTGTGTGACCTTCTACCTCCCTCTAGAGAGTCTCTAGCTTGAGTTGACCCTAGGAGAGTCTCCCAGCCTTCTTCTAGCTTCCAGTTAGCTGGTCTCACCTTCACGCTAAAGCATAAAGCGCCTCATACCAGGGAGGAGGCCGTGAGGTGTATACAGGCGCTGCTAGACACGTGAGTGACCTTCTACCTCTTTCTAGAGAACTCCAGACACATCTGTCTGAAAGAATCTAGTTTCTAGCTCAAGTGGCTCCCATGAGAGAGTCTCCCAGCCTTCTTCTAGCTTGCAGTTAGCTCGTCTTACCCCCGCGTTTCAACACAAGGGAGGGAAGAGGCCGTGAGGTGTATACAGGCGCTGCTAGACACGTGAGTGACTTTCTACCTCCTTCTAGTTGAGTTGATTCTAAGAGAGAGTTCTGTAGTGTCCTGCTAGTTTGCCTCTCACCTAAGCTTCAGAATATAGGCACAGAAAAGTAGTAGAGAGGCTGTAATGTGTATACAGGCGCTGCTAGACACGTGAGTGACCTTCTACCTCCTTCTAGAGTCTCTAGCTTAAGTTGCTCCCTAAAGAGAGTCTCTCAGTATTATTCTGCAGTGCCCTGATAGTTTGCCTCTCTCCTGAGCTTCAGAATATAGCCACTGAAAAGTAGTTGAGAGACTGTAAGGTGTATACAGGCGCTGCTAGACACGTGAGTGACCTTCTACCTCCTTCTAGAGTCTCTAGCCTGAGTTGATCCTAGGAGAAAGTCACTCAGTAATTTTCTAGCTTCCTGTTAGCTGGTCTCATCTTCACGCTAAAGCATAAAGCGCCTCATGCCAGGGAGGTAGACGTAAGGTGTATACAGGCGCTGCTAGACACGTGAATGACCTATCACCTTCCGAGTCTCTAGTTTGAGTTGATTTTAGGAGAGAGCCGCGCGAGTCTCCAGCTGTCATTCTTAAGCTTCCTGCTAGCTCCCCAACGCAAGGCGTCTCAACGTTCGAATAATCTTTAGTACTACGCAAGCAATGTAAGCTGATTACATTATGACGTCGCTGCTGTCATCATTGCTTACACGAGAAATGTGTTCTGTGGGTTGAGTGTGAGTTTACATCTAACGCGCTAACTAGTGAGCGCGTTTAAAAAATGTATGAAAATTTTAGTTTTTGAACGTTTTCCGCTAGGGGCGCTGTACAATCCGTCATACATTAAATAACATTTTTTGACGCGCTCACTAGGATGAAAACTGACACTCAACCCTCTGTTTTTGGGCACATTGCTGCGACACCGGCCACGCCCCCTTGTTACATCTCCCTTTAGTTACTGTGATCTGTGATTATAACTCTTTGTCACTAACATCTATTTCTTCATTGTACACAGATACGGCGCTACGGAGCTACAGCTGCGAGCGGCGGTGCCTAACCTAGCTGCTTTAGTGGGCGACCCCAACAGCGCCGTGCGGGACGCCGCCATGCAGTTGCTGGTGGATGTTTATAGACATGTTGGTGAGTACCACGATACAAAGGGCGATGCTACGCTACAGGGTGATAGCATTAGTAGTTAGGTTAGGTTAGGTTAGGACGCCATGCTACAGACGGTGACACCACGCTACACAGCGCGATACCACGATACAGAGCGCGACGCTACGCTACAGAACGCAACGTTACGCTAAGGAGTGCAACACTGCGGAACAGGACGCCAGCTTTAGTAGCTATACGGCGTGACGCTAGGTTACAGAGCGCGACGCTAGGCTACAGAGCACGACGCTACGCTACAGAGGCGCGACCCCAACAGCGCCGTGCGGGACGCCGCCATGCAGCTGCTGGTTGATGTTTATAGACATGTCGGTGAGTACCACGATACAAAGGGCGAGGCTACGCTACAGGGTGCTAGCATTAGTAGTTAGGGCGCGACGCCTTGCTACAGAAGGCGACACCACGCTACACAGCGCGACGCCACGCTACACAGCGCGACGCCACGCTACACAGCGCGACGCTACGCTACAGAACGCAACGTTACGCTAAGGAGTGCAACACTGCGGAACAGGACGCCAGCTTTAGTAGCTATACGGCGCGACGCTAGGCTACAGAGCGCGACGCTAGGCTACAGAGCGCGACGCTACGCTACACAGCGCGACACCACGATACACAGCGCAATACGACGCGATCATAACAGCGCCGTGCGAGACGCCGCCATGCAGCTGCTGGTGGATGTGTATAGACATGTTGGTGAGTACCACGCGACACCACGATACACAGCGCGACCCAAGAGCGACGCCGCTATGCCATAGATGCCTATAGACACGTCGGTGAGTACCACGCGACACCACGATACACAGCGCGACACCACGATACAGAGCGTGACACTATGCTACACAGAGCGACGCCACGCTACACAGTGCGACGCTGCGCTACACAGCAGGACGCTACGCTACAGAGCTCGAACCAAAAGCGACTCCACTGTGCTGTTGTTGATAGATGTTTAAAGACACTTTGGTGAGTACAGCGCGACGCTACGATACAGGACGCCAGCATTCCGTTTCCGTTCAGCCAGTCGGCCGTTTGGTGTAGTGGTTCAGAACGGACTGCTATGCCGAGAGGTCCCGGGTTCGATTCCCGGCCGGGCAGAAATTGAAATGATGAATTTTAATTTCTGTGACGGGTCTGGGTGTTACTATGTATAATATGTATGTATTTTTAAAAAAAAGTATATAAGTAGTATATCCGTTAAGCTAGCACCCATAACACAAGCATATTAATTGCTTACTTTGGGGCTAGATGGCGCTGTGTGAGATTGTTCAAAGATATATTTATATTTATTAGTATCTATAGGGCGCGACGTTAAGCTACACAACGCGACTATACGTTACAATGCGCGATGCTACATTACATAATGCGATGCCACGTTACATTGCGCTACACAGCGCGACCCAACGCTACAGAAGGGACGCTACACAGCGCTACCTAACAGTGCCGCATAGCGCGACGCTACACACTTTGATTCTATGCTACAGAGCGCGACGTTACAGAAAGAGACGCTACAGAGCAATATGATATAGACCAATACAAATTGTCGTTGACGCTTTTTTATATTCCCTTTTAAACGTAAATTATAATTATGTATGTTTCTTTCTGTGCAGGTGAAAGACTGAGATCAGACTTGAAGAAGAAAGAATTGCTGCCGGCACAGAAGTTGATGCTGCTAGAACAGAAGTTCGACGAGGCGAGAGAGGCAGGCCTATTGTTACCTACAGGTAAGATAGATCAAAGTAATATATTCAAATCAAATCAAAAATATTTTATAAATTTTGACCAGTATTTTGGCACTTATGAACGTCAAAAATAAAAATGTTGTCATTTTTGGCCCTGTCAGCGTCTAAATAACGGGACTATTCCCACCTCTCTTACCCACCGCTGCAACTCCTGTGTAGCCAGGATCTACAGCTTGACCGCCAATAAAATCACAACCAGTGAAGTCAAGTTTGTCCCGGGGAAAATTAAACTCGTTGGATCCAGAACTAAATTAATCAGAAGAAAAAGAATTGAGTTCAAAGTTGAGGTGCTTGTTTTCACTGTAATCTTTGCGCTAGTAATCTTGTGTATGTTGCTACAACTGAGATACCACTCCTGAGATAATGTATTGAGTTTATTATTTAATTTTATGTAAATAGTCTCACAGGATTAGTTTCCAAATAGAAAATTACATGTTAAGCGGGCTCATCTATTCAAGGGTGATTTTAAAATGAAATATTTATAGGTAACTTGATTAGAAGATAAGCATGCTCAAGCCAATCTCAATTTAGAAACAGGGCCTAAGGTCTCCTTATAATTAGAGGCGCAGTTGCAGCGCGACGTGCATTACGATTTAAGTAACTGTATCAAAAGTAAACCTCCGCCTTCTCACTTTTCCAATTAGGGTTCGCGCGCACGAGTGACTTTTGTCCCCCTAACTGATTCGTCATACTAAATCCATGGAGATATATGGAATTGCACGCACGTAGTGACGTGACAGTGACAAAAACTTTTTGTCACCTCAAAAAGTCATGGTGACCAAAGTCGCCTGTGCGCGTAAGCCCTTAGAAGGTAATAAGAAAAATCCTCACTGGATGGATCTCCGATCTTCTAAGTGAAATAGTACTGTTTTTACTAGAGATGAAACGGATAGTTGTTTGGCCGGATACCGGATACCGGATATCCGGCCAGCTGCTAGGCCGGATAGCCGGATATCCGGCGGCCGGATAGTTGGCCCATTTTCTCGTTGCATGTCGTGACGAGTTTAGCGCCGCACAGGTGCTTCGAACGCGATCAGTGGGTCTACTATACTCTGATTTTTAATTCGACGGAATTTTGACATTTCGACTAAGAATGGAGAGCATTTTCACAAATTAAAAAATAATCCTTTCTTGAATTTAAGGTTTCACTTGAAAAACTAAGGCTAAATGTACTGATCATTTCAAAATGGTTATTTGAATTTTTATTATCATAAATTTAAAGTTACAAAAAAAATTGGGATTTTTTTTCTATTACTGGACTTCATGGACAATAATCCATGGGTAACAAACCTTTTTTATAAAATCCTTTTGAACAAGACAACAACAAGATGCCAATAATAATGATTGATAAATCAATACATATTTTCGTTTATGATAATAATTATTATTATGTTGTTTTACTGTGTTAAAAACACGTTTTTTTCTATCTAATCTCTAAGATGTACATAATAATTAGTGTACATTGAATTCACAAAACAAACAATAGTTCATTCTTGTAAGTTGTAGGTACTTGATGAAATTTCATTTCATATTATTTATTAATAATTCAAAGCAAAAAAGGCTTATTACATCTGAATTGTCAAAAAATTACAGCTGTCAGAATTCCGCCGAATTAAAAATCGGACTTTAGTACACTAGTCACACTTTTCGAAAATCGAATCCTTCCGAATAGAATGACAGATTTTGCCACTTGTCTAATTCGGGTGATTTCGGTTGCTTTAGTGAGCGTGTGATTGAATAGCGAAAATTAAATTAGTTTACTTGCTGCGTAATCTGACTGAACTGCATGCATCATGTCACCAGACCATCAGTGAAAAATAGATCCCCCTTTTGATTTGGAAATATTTCGACATTAGCAGATGTTTACTATTTATGTATTCGTCATTAGAGTGATTAGCCCAGAAAAATAAATTAGTTTTTTGAAAGGCCTTAATAGGTATGGCATTTTTGGACTTTAAATAAAAGCCGTCATTATTATAAGCGATTTTATTGATATTTACCTCAAAGATTAATGTATTTCATTTTATTAATAGGAAAATGTCGTAGATTTTTAATATCCGGTATCCGGCCGGATAGTGAGTTACTATCCGGTATCCGGCCGGATAGTAAATTTAGGCCGGATATCCGGCCTACCGGATAGTTACCGGATATCCGTTTCATCTCTAGTTTTTACACTAATTTTTCCATCCACAGCGACGTCAGGCGGCGACGAGCCGGACTTCATAGCGCGCAGCGCGAAACGCACCATGACCATACCCACCTCAGCTCGTTCCAGGGATGGAGACAGTTCTGGCGCTTCCACACCAGGTCAGTACATCATCATCGGCATTTCAGCATTATAGGAGTCCACAAGTAGATTTAGGGGGGCCAAGGATAATAAATAATGTAAAATACAGGGTGTTAGGTAAATGGGTATATGAGCCGACACTAGCCCATGTTAACATGGTCATATAAATGGTATGGTGAAGTCAGAAAATTGATATCTTCATTTAAACTATTTTAATTTTCATACAAATCGGATTTTGTAAAATTTATTTTGTATGAAAAGGACATTGGGAACTTTAATATGAGAAAATGCCCCACGGCGGACAAAAATGAAACGTATTTTATTTCAAAGCTTTATACTTGTAGGTATATTCACTTAAAGCGCTATGTTGTTTGTTTTTTCAAACAGGTTACTTTTTTATTATAGGTTACTAGCGCTTAATTGAGTCAGTGTATGAGGCATGGGAGCGGCCCGGGAGGGTATTGTTGTGACGTGCAACGTCAACGACAATTCAGATTATGATAAGCGCCTATAGTACCTTTAACAATCAAATTAGACTTCAAAATGTTACGCTCGTTGTGCTGTCGTCTGTTCATTACACAAGAAGTGATAATTACGAGAAACAAAAAAAAAACAACCATTTATTTTCTCTAACTTCATAACTAAACCTGAAAAATAAATAATTCAACCGTCTAAGTATTCTGAATCGAACTCTATTCAAATTCAGGATTTTGAATGTTTTAAATATTGAAGTTCAACTAATCACGGGCTCGATTGAGTCACAAGCTTGACTTCGAATGGAGATTTGAGTTTTGCATGACATTACTGTAGGTGTATGATGTCCAAATCTTCAAACATAATTTACATCTATCTATCAATAAAAACTAATATTTAATTCTCTTCTCTTCACCATGTCTTCACCGGCTCGCTGCTCATCACCTGGGACTGTCCATCACCACGTAACCTCATCACCGATCTAACTAATGACTTGACACACTAATACTGTCAACACATGTTGTGACAACTTCATAAAATCTACAAAAATGCCACGACTAAAAACTGCATGTGTCGTGACAAATTCAATCTTTAAAAATGTCATAACTGAAACTACATCTTTTAAAAAATGCAATGCGGTAATAAATGATCATTTTCAAAATGCATGTGCATTATTATTTTTTCTAATGAATTAATTTAATTTTGGATGTATTTTTCTCCGTTGCATATTTAAATTAATATATCTTACCCACATTTTTTGCTAAATTAAATCTAAATTATCACATTTTGCATCGTCAAACTTCTAAACGTCATTGCATATTTCAATTGACATTTCTTACTTTAATTTCTGACTAAATTAAACTTAATTTTCATTGATTACCACATACATTTGACCTTCTGTACCCTACATTTTCGGGATTGGTTCAATTACTTTATCTTGTGGCAATCTTCCACAACTTGTGCAATCCTCTACATTTTGTGACAAACGTCGCACTTCTCTCCAACCAAAAAAAAAATTCCTAATTGTGAATACAAATCTCGTGACAAAACTTGACACACGTCCCCAACTCTACACATCTCGTGACACGTCTCATGACAAAACTACAAATCTCGTGACATATTTGACACCCGTCCCCAACTCGTCACACGTTGTGACAACAGCGTGCGAGCCACCAAAGCGAACAGTTCCAGGATTGTACAGCCTACCATCAGCGAATAGGAAGCCCCCGCCGCCGGCTAAATTCACCTCTGGTGGGAGCGGTAAGTTATAAAACGACTGGGTTTTGGTAATACTTTATACTTTTGTTTTATTTTTCTTATGTTTATTCAAAGCGTTTAATTTGCGTTTTCTCCTTCGAAACTGTAGAAATAGCATCCCCAAAAGTGGGAGCTCTAATGTAATTTTACAGAGACAAATAAAAATCCTTATTTATGACCACAAAGGTTTTCGGAATTTCACTTTTTTTCTGGTAGTTTGTAATTTTTATTACCATAATACCATTGAATTAATCAATGCTTGTACGGGTGAGGTTTTATGGATAAAGTTTCTATAATTCCCACATCTTTTCCCTCCACAAGCAACTGTCGTTCCTCGAACGTGCTAGAACGTAGATTAATATTATTTGATATTAGCCACAAAATAATACAAAATAAGAAACGTAATGCAAGATCAACAACTGTTTGTGCTCTCTTGTCAGAGATTTTTGGCTCTTAACCTTCCCTTTCTCCTACAGTGTCGACAGCAATCGGCAGCGCCTCCACCGGTTCAGGCGAAGCCGGTGCGGTCTCCAGCGAAGCATTTGAGGCTGCTTTCGCGGCCGCCGCTCCTGCTGCCGTGTATGGAGCCAGAGGACTTGACGACTTGTGTCGACACGCCGCCGCCTTGCTGGGAGATAGGGGAGCGGACTGGGAGAAGAGAGTCGACGCGGTGAGTGAAAAGTCCGGTCGCCGAGCACGTAGAATTTCGTCCAATGACCCCAAGCTACCATCCTCATCGCGATTATGCGACAGGCGCCCGCAGTGAGTGTGCGAGTGCGACAGCAATATAATTACGCGCGAGCGATAAGGATGGGTAGCTTGGGGTCATTGGCCGAAATTCTACGTGCTCGGCGACCCGACTTTAGATATAATCTCCCTGTGGCGACATCTATCGACTGGCCATTACAGTCTTAACCAACAGATGGCGCTGACACATAAGTTACTATGTCACACACCACCGCGCCTGCATTCCTGAATCGCGGTGATGGAGTTTTTTACCCTGCTAAGTATACAGTGTGAGTCACGTTAAAGTGTACATATGAAAATAAATGAAACTAGACCTATTTTTATCGACAAAAAAGAGGTCAAAAAATTTTTGAGATTTTTTTTTTATTTTTTATAGAATTTTTTTTCTTCCAATTACTTATTGTAAAGAAAACGTAATAACTTTTAAACTAAGCGGTATATCTTGATAAAATAAAAACAGTAATAATGCTAAATAACAGGCGATACTAAAAAAATACATAAAATACACAAAAAAGGCCAACAAATAATAAAAAAATATACTTTTTGAAAAAAATCTGCTTAAAAATTCGTGTTTTTTTGGTTATTTGATAAATTTCTCCAAAAAATGCCCCTATAACCACTTCAACTGGCATTGGATTCAACATCGGATTCTGACACTTTTACAGTTATGATACCATGAATATCAGTTTATGGTCCTAATTATTTTTATTTTATTTACGACCTTCGACCAGTTGGACACTTTAGATATCTTCTTGTAATAGTGTCAAACTGTCAATATCTTTTTAGCTTTTAACGCAAATCTAGTCTTCAAAGCAGTTTAATCGATTTATTTTATTTTCAAAATCGATATTTTATTGTCTATGATGGCCGCAGGAACATCACTATACATGGACTCCCAGCAATAAAGTACGGTAATGCCTCGTACAGATTTTATCGGCAAAAATTATGGAACTTGATAGGTTTTAGACCATGCCACGCACCAAAACGTCCGGAAGTTGTAATAGTATTATAGAATAAACGTTAAAAGACTTATTTATTTAATTTTTCAATGCTTAAGTGTCCATTAGAATGAAAGGGTGCTTAATGTATTAAAAAAAATAGAAAATAATTATGATGGGTTAATGTTTTTGGGCGGTTTTTTAGGCGGTTTCTGACAATGTCCTTTCGCACGTGACATTAAAGCGAGGAATACACCGCGAGCTAGAATGCTCGGGTAAGCTAATATTGCATTAACACCTGCCGTATCTTCCGATTGTTCGGCAATATCTTATAGTCATTTAATACAAAGTCAAAACTATTAAATTATTTTTTTACAAAGTTTGCAGTCACTGCGTTGAATGAAGTTTGTAGATTAAACATTTTTAATTTTTCTTACTTAATTTGCCAGAATAAATTGAACAGATTAAAAAATAATCCCAAACGAAAAGTTCACTGCACGATATCCCACCTATTGTGGTCCAAAAATTATTCAATTTCGCGTAACATCTAGATACCTACGATCTGATCTGCGAACAAAAAATCGGACAAAGCCACGATTTAACCCTTCACTGGGGGCGGTGATATTAAATTGAAATATTTTCGTTTTATTGTCCGTAATATTTATTTGATTGTTAAATAAATACGGCGTGCGGGACGGCGATTGTACACGGTTTAATGGGGCCGCTCTATTGTTGACGGTTAATTTTTTGATTAATCATTCCTGTTTATGGGGATTCGTTGCGATTCGGTGACGATTCAATTTCTGTTGCTGCTGTGCAATAGCTCTTGTATGCTACAGTAATTAGGTGAATGTATTTATTAAAACCAATTATTTTATTTAGAAATGTTCCACATACAGGTAGATACTAAATGTAGGTAAAAATAATGGGAGGCATTTCCTCCAAGTGATCCTCGATTAGGATTTTAAGAATTTACAGCAACATAAAGATCAAGCGTCGTGAATTTTGCCGTTGCTGAAAGCCTAATTTAGGTATTATTGTAAATTTTTACGCAAATAATTAAGTATTATTTCAAGTCATTCTCAATCATATTTCAGTTTTTGGATTACCGACTGTCAAAAACATCCGCACGTCCAATGCTTGCATAACGCATGCCCTTATCACGTTCAAAAAAATTAATCGTACTTTGATAACTGGGCACAAAAGCGCGTGCGCGCGCGCCGGACAATGCAACGTCATCAATTTTAATCTGCGCGACAATTGCGCGGTGACAAATGTCAGCGCGAGTCATTTATTACGCGGCGCGCGGCGCAAACGGATCGGCTAATAAAGGGTTAACTATTGTTAGCGGAGGCAGATTATATTTGGGTATAATTTAATATTTTGTACGTATGATTAGTTCTTTATCTATGGGCGGTGAGGTGCTTTTATTATTCATGGTTGTTTGAACGGAGGGCATGTTAATCCGCGTTGGTCTGATCTTGCCATGTTTTCAAATTTAAAATCGCATACGACATCATACGGATAATAAAAGAGTCCCTAAACAATTAATAATATGTGAATCGGATCGGCTATATCTTTGAAATATCTACTCTCAACATCAACAACTGAAGAATTGTTGATTAATTTGAATATGATGTATTTGAGGAAATGAATGATTCAATGTTTAAAATTTCCCGTAACATAACGTCTTGAGCTGTTACGACGCATTTATTATGAAATCAAAAGTAAATCAGTTAATACAGAGACGAATAATACCAGCCGTCCCAACATCGATATCAAAACTCGATCAATCACGTCGAGCCCCGAATTTCATATGTCTCTTAATCCTTTCGCAAAAAAGGTCCTTATCGTAAATTATTCAATAGATGGCTCTCTCCCATCGATCATCTTGCGCAAGCGTTCTTGACAAATGCACAGTGGGACTGCAAATCGATTCTAATTAGGGATATTTAAGAGTCATTGTTGTATCGGCGTGTCATGCAGCTGATGTGGATATGTGGGTTTGGAATTTTGGCTAAAATTAGTGACCACACATTACACGATGACGTCATAGAAAATATTACAGATTATGTGGTTTGGCTGAAATCAACGCGTCATCGCGTCATGGCCAGTAAAGTTCAGTAGGAAAATGAGGCGTCAATAAATCAATATTAAACTAATGTTTTGGTTAAATGGCATCAATTTCAAAGCTAATTAATGAATTAACGTACCCGCACGCAACTATGTAGTACCTACCGCATATTCTTTTAATTCAGCAAAATTAAAAAATTGCTTTGCCATTCAAATACAAGCGTCAATTTTTTTCCACTGTAAAAATACTGCAAAACCGGGTACTATTAAACTTAATTAAAGTATAATATATTATCAACTCAATAGATTTTATTAAGCTATTTACCAGTTTAAATAAAACCCAAAATGTGGATCTAATGGGCAATTCACACGGCGCGCTAGATCCAAACGACGCTGTACAATAAAACGACACAATAATTACTGGTAATTGTAAAGGCATAAGTCACCGGTGGCCAGCTGCGGCGGCGACACGCCGGAAGCCGGCGCAGGAAGCACTGAAGACCCTAACAGCCTGACGTATGAGTGTCTAGATGTGACATAAACATTATGTACTTACATCCATGTAGGAAAATCATCATTTTATTGCATGTGCTAATAATGATTCTATCATAGGAAACGTATCTAATCCACTTGTACCTACTCTTTGACACATAATATACGGACCTATGAACTCGTATGTTATAAAAAATTGCAAAAACTAAATTCAAACTCTTGAATTTCATGCTTGTATACTTAGATCAGTGCTGTTTATTTTTGTTGATATATAAAAAAAGGCTGAATAGTATTTCGAAAGCATTTTCAGAATTTGATTTACACCACCTTGTCCACTTGCTCTTTAGAAGCTTCTACGTGTCTCTTTTTTTGCTATTTACACCTATTGAGCGTCACATCTAGCAGACCAAACATTAGACTACGACTACGACACGCCGCGACGCGTCCACCCTTATGATAATATAAGTATATGCGTGATTTTTCATCGGGCGACGCATACGTCGCGATTTATCTAAATTAAGCATCGCATGCGCGTGGCGCGCCGGCCCGCGCCCTGTGATTGCGCCCTTATGTACAGGGTGTTCTGTATTGCAATTATAGTTGTTGTAGGTGTAATTGTAGAGTTTTGAAGATATAAACTCTTATGTGAAACTTTGTTTGTTTTCCTAATAGTACCTACAACATGACCCTTAAAACATTCAGTAACTCACAAAATTAATAAGTTGTGGTTTTGCATAATTATCTTTATATTTAGCTGGACGAAAATATAATGAAATGTATTTTATGACGTAAAAGATATCACAATTTTTCCATGGTTTCGTTCTATTTGGAGATTAGTTTTGGTTAAAAGATTTATGAGAATTAGAAATAAAGGTTGTCAAAGCGCAAAAAATTAAAGAACAATCCACTAGCCGAAAGTGAGTGTTATTATGCTTAGAGCTCATGCTCTAGCTTGCCAAGCGACGCTGACCTACCTGTAGTTAAAGTATTACTCTGCGAAACTTTTCAATCATTTACCTTATACGCATTGTTTATTTAAATCAATGCTTGTCCAAGCTGCCTGTATAGTAACACCTAGTCCCACGAGGGCGGAGGGCAGGTGACTCCAATTAACTCCACCCCGTGTCAGCGGAGCGTGAACGGTTGTGATTCAGCTGATGTCAGACGACGCACTTCGGATCGGTTTTAGGGTTCCGTACAGGTTTGAATGTCTGACACAGACATTTCGCACAAAACACTTATTGGACAGATTGTCAAATAGGAATTGAAGGTCTATATAATAGACGCATAGGTCGGGAAAGTACATATTAATGCCAATTTGAAGTCTTATCATTGAGTATTTTCTGAAAAATACCAGTGACAGACGCACAGGAAATGTAAGTAATCTTTTGAATTCCGTAGTAATATACGTAACGCTAAACATAATATATACCTATTCATATTTATTTAGAATACAACTCAAACTACGAACATGGTAACGCAATCATTGTTTTAATTCAGTTGCGTTAAGGATAGGTACTCGCTAGCATCGTACGTTTCAATATTCGTTGACTTAGCAAGGTGGTTTTGTTAAACTATAATAACCATCCAAGAAAAAAACTAACCTGTTGCTGTAGGCAGGACATCTTGCAGCGGCAGTGGTGTCCTAGGACCCAGCAGGAGTTCTTGGCCCGACTGGACCTCGCGAACTACTTTGTACCACACCTAGAAATAACAATAATCCACAATAAATAACTGAGTTAATAAATAATCTTGTCAATCTATCACTACGTTATCTATTCTATTCCAATATTAGCAACATTAAGGCTGAGTTGCACCACCTAACTTTGACCGTAACTATGACGATAACTGGTGTTTTTTGTAAGGAGTTTGACAAATTTTTGACGTTTGTCAAAGTTATAGTAAGATGGTGCAACCCAGCCTAAATGTATAGAATGTTTGTTTATCTAACGACAGTTTCTATTTTGGGCACGCCTAGTAGTTTTAAAAACAGGTAGAGATAATTTTATGTATTTAATCTTTTCAAAACAATGCGTCATATAGACATAGATATCTAGTCACCGAATTAACAGCTTAAATATTTGAGGAAAAATATTACAAAAATACGTTATTAGAAACCACGTAAGAAAACAAGCATCTTATAAAAATATTTTTATCATTATTATTTCCGCTATTTAATTACGCGTTTTATTAAAAAGTTCAAAGTTGAAAGTCATAGATTTCAACCTCAACAAGGGCAGAGGTGAGTGAATCTAATCACTGCATCTGTTCTCCCCTCCTGACCGGAAGTGGGCCAGTTGTTCAACGGAGCACCGATTTTCTGCCACCGGAAGTACCAACGTTCCACATTCAAATTTTATTGGGGTACGTCATATGTAATGAGGGTTGCAACAATGACTTGAACGTTATTTGTGCATTTTGTGATGGGGAAACCAATTAAAAGTAAGTAGACAATGGTGTTTGGCCATTGTTGTTGATGTGAAGTTTGGAGAAAGAAGCTGAGAAAAGAAGCGGTTTTGATATTGGGTGGAATGTTATGCGCAAAACTTACAAAAAATGACCGTTATTGAATATTAATTTGTTGATACTAACGGCCCTATTGATTTTAGAGGAATAATCCGTAATGATTGCAATTTTTAAACAAAAATGTCTTACGTAGGTACTAGAGGTAGGTAATAGATGGCGATAGCCAACAGTGTTAACTGCCCATTGAAAGTCATGTCATCTCGTTCTATCGCAAAAAATCGCCATTTGATTAGAGCGAGAGCAAAAACGGAAATGGATAGTTAACAGTGTAGGCGTGTGTACTTTCGATTAAATTAATCCATGTTGGAAAAAATATAGTTATATGGAGTCATATTAAATGATATAGAACGTTTTCAGGTTCATTATTAAAAAAAAATACGTAAAGGATTTATTGTCTTTTGATATTTTTACAGATTTTTTGAGACCATTTAGGTAAGTACGTAATGTGTTTTCTGGACATTATTATTTAGCTTTTTAGAGTGTAATTATTATGTAGGTACGTGTCGTAAAGCTTTTAATTATCTATCTTAAAGTCGGCCATACTTGTCCAGCATGCAACTGGTGCTGCACGTTAACGTCATGAGGGTAGTTGGTGGAGCGGACCAGCTTCAGCCAGTTGGTCTTCTCGGCGGTGCCGTCCAGCCAGCCCCGGATCCCGTTCTTGCCGAGGACCTGGGAATTAGGAGCAGGTTAATAAGTAGGTACTTAACTTAACTTTTAAAACACATGCGATCTAATTGGAAACATCTTGTTATTTTTAAGTCGGATAAAAACATCCTCCTATTTTAAGTGTAATTTTAATGTCGAATAAATCTAGTTCAAAAAGAAGTTCTGTAGTAAAAGGTTTTAAGAAAGGTGAAAACGTGTCGAGGACAACAATGATATAATTTTTTGCTGTCCAGTTATGTGTTGTTACTGTAAAAAATACTTATAGTTTTGACTCCCCCTTATTAATTAATAAAAGCACTATATTATTGCAGTCTTTCTTTGACGAGTTAAAATGCTTTATTTTGTAGAAATCACAATACGCCTACTCTATAAAGTTGGTAGAGTCAGTTCTGTGACTAAGCGCCATCTAGCCTCTACACAATGAACTTACGCATAGAGCTTTAAAGCCTCCGCTGAAACCTCGACAGTAAACAAACTATGGAAATACTAAATTACCTAACATACTGAATATTAAAGATGTTTCAGAATTATTGATTAGCCTTGGCTTAACACTTGTGTAAAAAAGGGAAATAACATAAATCTACCGTAAAATAAATATGATAGTAAAACTTTTATAACATAAATAATTATACCTATTTAAACAACCTACATTTACTCTACAATTTCAAACTAATTAATAACCCCAGTCCAAAATGAAGCGTCCATTTGACTCAATCCATCAGTTTAACGATGTCCGCACACTGCCACCTAGCGGCAGATGTCGGCATCGCGCGTTACGGTGGACACCGCGAGTCGCGATAGATGGCGCTATTAGTCCTTGTCAAGATGCACCCGCACCCTTGTACAGTCAGAACCAAATATAATTGTAGCGTTTTATTAATTAATTGAATTTCGTATTTCATTCGATCGAGAGAAGTTTTTATAGATCTTTATTTTTTAAACAGTCATACGACACTATTTTTTTTAATCTTGTTCTGTAGATTTTGTACGCAGAACTGAATAAATATCGAACATGGCTATTTTTTAAGTTATGGAAACTTGGAAAGCAAACCAGTCATTGCATCGATAAAATAAAACCTGTGTATTAATTAACAAATAAGACACGGTAGCTTTACAGGTGGTTGACAAAGATAGATAATATTCAATATCCAAAATAGAGGTAACTCCTTCGACTTGTTTTTTTTAAATATTATTAAAACTTTCTAATACATTATTTTATTGTATTTCCTTAAATTCATCATGTCTTCGTTATGTTATGACTCTATGCGATGCTTTGCGCAACTTGCGTTAGTGAAATAAAGTTTTGTGTTATCTTTTTGTGACCGACTGTACCCATTCGTTATGAAACCCTCGTGATGATTTAATTTTCATTGCAGGCGTCCGAGTTATTCATCGCGTTTTTATCGTGGGGGGATTATTTATGTAACTTAATTTTAGTTTTACAACTTTTAGGGAACGAAAAGAAGTTTTGAAAAGTTAAGTATTATGGAAGTTAGCTTATGGACAAAATCTTAATGGCCACCAAAAAGCTGTTTCCAAGTTACCAAAAGAAAGCCATTTTTTAAATATTACTTGCCTCTACCTACAGGCTTCACATAGTTTTATTAGTGCTGCAGTGCATTGTGAGATTGTGACTCTATGCTTGCTATGTTACCTACTTAAAAAGCAACCACATTAAACTTCTGCGATTCACTAACACCTTCATCTTAATTCTTAACGATTTACTTTAAAATATAGCTAGACAGTTGAAACTTATCCACAAAGAATCGCTTTACCCTAAACAATTTAACCACTCTTCCACTCGTTCTAAACCACTCAAAAACTATAGAGCGCTTATTTTGATAGACACTCCACCTACCCTCGATTGAGCCATAACGCGCATAATGGCTTTTTCGTGAAGATGTGTGCCTTCCTGATGGAGGGGTTTGTGTTTGGTTAACGTTAAATTAGGGCCCTTTTACTTGATCTACTGCCTGGTAAATATAGGTAGGTGTGTCGTATCGATTGCCTATCATAACGATTTAAAAATACCGGTTGAGGAACGTGAATTAATGAGCATTGATGGTATGCTATTATACCGGAAAATAGGTATGTACCACCTATATTACGCTTCTGTTTATAAGTTACTAGCTTATGCCCGCGGCTTCACCCGCATAAATTTAGTTTGTCACAGATCGTCATAAATTATAGCCTATATGTTATTTTGAGTTATAAACAATAATACTGTAAAGTTTCATCAAAATTCGTTCAGTAGTTTTTGCGTGAAAGAGTAACAAACATCCAGACATACAAACTTTCGCATTTATAATTTAGTACGATTACAGTCAGCGTAAAGTAGCCAAAAAGTTCGCAAAACGTCTTTGTTGCAATAGGGATGTTTCCTGGGTCAAAAAGCAAGAGTTTTAATTAGTCCGTCAGTTAACTTATCAAAAAATACTCTACACGTATTTTTCACTTTTTCAAACTAATGAAAATTTAAAGAGATAAAGCGCGCCAAAGTTCATAAGAAGAGGCCCGTTACGTCAATGCGTGCATAAAAGTGCCGCACGTTGTGACGTCGTGCGGAACTTCAACGCACCATAACTATGTAATTATTTGTTAGATTGACAAATAAAAATATATGTGTCCAATATTTTTTGATATTAAACATGACGGACTAAAAAAATTTTTTTAGGAAACTAGCCTATTGAAATATGGTTGTGTTGTCAAATTTTTGGCCACTGGGTGTCACGAACTATTTGACGCTGACTATTCGATGCATTTATCGTACTAATTTAAAAGCAAATAGTGTAGAGTCGCCAGCAAATCCGACTAGGAAACATTTTAGTTGCAAATTCGAACTTATCACAACTATTTCGGATTCCCATAGTGTCGTTGTCTGTACATACGAGTACAATTGGTTAGACTAGATATAAACGGATTAAAACAGATAACATTGATTAAACCATCAGATCAGGAAGTAAAGTGATAAGATAATTTAAACCACACTTGTTTTGTCTTTTTGATAGCTCGTAAAAAGAAGTTAGTTAATCAATCGTTGTTATCACACCACCTACCTACTGGTGGTTGTCCTACAGTTTTTAAAATGTGAATATCTGACGTCACTCTTATGCTATATTAAAAAAAATGTATTGGAAATATGTATACTAGCGATCAACATGTGACATTCTGATACGAGTATGACTACCTGATAATTTATTAAACTTGTTATTAAAATTAATTAAGCAAAGTAGGTACTCTTCTGATAAAATGTAATTATTCAATAAGTATCGACATTGTAATGTTATTAAATTAAATTAAACGGTATTGTATGAAAGTGGGGGTGAAAACGTGTAGTCACTTTGTTAAACAAATACTTTCCTAAAGCCTGATAACCATGCATCATCTTCAAAGAAACAAGGTGCCTAATCTTTCGGAAAATTAAATCCCGATCCCCACTTTATCATCTTGTGAGAATTAGGGAAAAATAAAAAGCATCTGTTGCACAATAAAATTGGAGTAACAAGTAAGGTATTAATCAAATTTAATGTTGAATCGCCCCGTCACAGCCAAGCCTTCCGCTGCGTTTGTCATGATATTAACACCGAGGCGGGTACGAGTAAAAAGATAATTATCTTGTAGGCAACCCTCGTCTTAAGTTAGGGGTGTCACTTATACGATCCCTATTTTGATGCAATGTGATTATATAGATATAAACGTTTTGAGTTTATTAGTTTGTCTTATATTTTATTTACTTATTTAAGGATTTTTTACAAGTAGTAAGACTTACTGACTGCTTTTAAGATGAAGAAGTTACTCGGACCTACTTATAAAACTTTATATCATTTTACTTCAAGGTTTTGCTCAAAACAAGGACTTTCCTATCTTAGTAAAATATCAATCGAATAGAATTTAAAATGTGCACATAACGTTAAAATGTATCAATTCAGATAGTTTAGTTGACTGAAACCATAAAAGTCTGTCGTTGTCTTAAATCCTAGTCTTAAAGCTTAGTGTTAAGTATTAATAACATTGAAACTATTTCCATAGTCACCCCTATTGATGTGCCGTTCCCGAGAACGCTCTCTCAGCTGAGAATATTCTCGGGAGCGTTCCCGGGAGCGTTCTCCTAAGTGAGAAAGGTTGAGAATCATGTTTATAAAATGGAAATAAACAAACTTTCTTAAGTAAAATAGTATTAAATGAAGTATATTAAACAATACACTCTATTTGCAGTGGAAGGCTATATTCTCAGTGTTCCCGAGAATATTCTCGGGAACTTTCTCGGCAATATTCTCGGCAACTGCACCTTTATTATATTTTATTTTTTTCGTCGTGAAATGTCGTTTTAATGATATGTAAGATGACAGAAATTTCTTTTTACACGTAATTAAATAATGTAACTGTAATTTTTTTCGTTTTTAACACGCTCTTATTAGGTCGTCGTGTATGTAACTAACTATGTAATGGAATCTTAGGATCTGAATTACACGCACTTCTAAGTCTTGTAACATCATGAAACTTGGCAATTATATGTAGATTAAAAATGATAATACAATATTGTGGTACCAGCTGGTCTGATGATGGGACTGGAAGGTGGCCAAAAAAACTCCGAAACGAAACGGCGGAAACACATCGATTTTGGGTTCATTGGATGTCTTTTCGAGATCTTTAAGTGCTAGATAATGTCCAGGATCCTAATGATGGAGTCAGGAGGTAGCCATAGAAACTCCTAAACGAAACGGCGGAAACTCATCGAGTTTGGGTTCGTTGGATTTGTCTTTTCGAGCACTTTAATGCTAGATTATGTCCAAGGTCCTGATGATTTTTGGCTTTTTAGTGCTGTTAGTAATTAAAAGCGTGTTTTTAGTTTTTTTAATCTATTCTTATTTGACATTAAGGGCATATTTCACAATCGCTTAGTAAAGGCCTGTTTCGCCACTTCTGGATAAGTTATAGTCTGTCTGACGGATCATTTGGCACATTTTTATAGAAAATACGTGCTAGCTAGATTGATCCGACAC